TGCTTTCCTCGCAGTGCTGGCTCATCTGTCTCTTCAGCCTGCAGTTGGCTCAAGGGTTTCCAGTAACGTAAAGGAGGAAGGGTTGAGGGCAGGGGGTTGGGTTGGGTTTTTTTTTCTCCTAACTTGTTAGAAAGCTTTAATGCTGATAGCGATAAAACTGCTTTCCGTAGTGGGGGTAGAGTAAGTTCTGGAAGGGGGGGGCTGATGAAGTCACTCGGGCGTGGTTGGATGGTGCTGTCGATACCCACCACAGCACTTTCGTGCCTGCTTGTGCTAGCAGGCTTCCACTCTCGCGGTGCTCGGCTGAAGCGCTGGCTGGAAGCGCCCGTGTTCTCTTACATAATCCAGAAGAGCTCAGCGGGCGATCGTTACCTCTGTGGGCCTGCTCTGGCCCTGTTTTGCTGGCTTGCCTCACCGCTTCTTTCTTTTTTTCGGCACTGAGTGAGGAGTATCTTCCCCCTCCTGCGTCCCAGCAGGGACATTCCTAGGCTGCTGTCTGAGGCTGCAGTCCTGCTGCCTAAGCAGTTGGCTTATGCAGCTGTCAGGGGCTTGGACCATGGCTAGACTCTCCCTCCATTCATTCCACAACACTTATGGTGGGTGTATTAGAGTTTAGAGACAGATCTGTTATAAGCACAGACTAATTAGAGTTGTAAGTCTCCACAGCCTTGTATGATACATGTAGGTGGGTAAAGTATTTTGGATTTGTCAAAGCCAGAATATACTAAGCCCTTGCCAGTTTTTTTCCTTTCTCCTTCTCCTTGCTTTTTTTATGGCTTGTTTTATTAGGCAGTTCCAGTTCTCCTAAATACTGGAACAGTTGTGAGAGTGAAAGGACCTGAGAAGAGCAGGCTATGAAACTGAAGCGCTAGCTGCAGTGGACAGCTGTTGCTGGCATAAAGGGAGGTGGGAGCCACTTTAATCTCTGCACATGACCGCCTCTTCTTTTCCCCTTAACCTTCACATTGTCACCGACACCGTTGTGTTTCTCAGAACACCTAGAACTTGAAGGAAACCTTTTCTTAACCTCTGCATGCTCTGAGCTCTAGCTTGCTGCTATAAAACCTCAGGCGGCTATGGAAGATAACAGTGGCTGATCTTTTTTCTCCTGTAGCATTTTTATAGTGTGCTATGAAAGAGTGTGAGAGGCCTTCTCTCAGTGCTTGGGCTGCTTTCATACCGCAAGCAAAGGATTACACGTGATACTACATGTGATCTTTTGGAAAACTGTGTGGAACCAGCAATACCGATGGCAACGGCATCTTGCTTCTCTAGGACCAACAATAACTGATGGTTTTGTGGGTTTTTTTTTTTTTTTATTCTGACAGGTCCACTTGGTTGGTATCGATATCTTCACTGGCAAAAAATATGAAGATATTTGCCCATCAACTCATAACATGGATGTTCCAAATATCAAGAGGAATGATTACCAGGTGAGTTAATGGTCACTGTGTCCTTCCACACATCAAGAAGCTTTATAATACCACATGTAAACTCTCTTCATCCCCAAACTTGCCTCTCAATAAAGTACTGTTGTCAGAATGTGTGGAACTTGCCTGTCCAGCCATGACGTTGCTGAACTCGTAGCATTTACTGAATTGTTAAAACTGTCGGAGCTCCCTGATGGAGACCTCCTTACTGTACTAACAACCTCATGTTACAGTAGCAGTGTTTAGAGATGACAGGTAACAGACATAATTCAGAACACTGTTTTTTTCTAGCTCCTGTTGTAAGGTCACTTTATTCGTTGTGATACTGGCATCCTTTAGAATCTGGAGAGAGGTTATCCCTGCTGCAAGTTATTATTAGTTAAAGGATAATCAGGATCTCACTTCAAGTAAATTTGAATCTAAGCATATATTGTCATTTATAATTTCACCCTTACATAGGGTAGATGAATCAACAAGACGGTCTTAAACTGAATCTGATGCCAGTTCTAAATTGCTACAGTGCTTTCTGCTCCTTGTGTGGAAGTTGGCTTTAGTTGAGCTCAAGTAATTTTGGTGCTCCTGAGCTCTGCTCTGAAATGTATGTACGGAGAGAACTTGGCAGGTTTCTGTGACTTTTGTAATGGCTTCTGTGATATGGATAGTGAGCTCCTAAAAGCAGCACAATTCAGATTCTGAGTTGTACCATGTCGGCTATCTTCCCACTGTGTTGGGAGTAGTTCTGGCCAGGAACTGATACATCCACATCAGTTGGAAAGCTGCAATTGCTTGACAAAGCCAAAGTTCAGAGTGTTAGCAGCTCTTTGGGACAGCTGACGCTGTTTCAATTAAGTGTGGCTAGCCTGTCTTAGGGCTCAGACCTCCTAGGAGATTCTTAATGTTATCTTGGTGATCTTTCTCTTGTGTTCTTGGGTCCTTGTTGGTACTGAAATTCTTGCTGTGCATCAGAATTGTTAGGGCTGCCCTTTAGGCTTACTGTTACGTGTTCCAAGTTCCCTAACCTGATCTGTCAAAATAGCTGTTCCCTTTAGCTCAGGCTTTCGGTTAGGCTGAAAACAGCATTATGAAAGTGGTCCAGGGCTTGGTGGATGTTCCCTAATGTATTCATTAGCCTCTCATGTAAATGATAGTATCTCATTGTACAAATGAAGGTATGGAAGTGTACAGTTCAACCGCTGTGTACATTGTACACTTCATAAAAGCAATGCTGTTCCATGAACACCATTCCAGTTACTGTTTCTGATTCACAGATGTAAAAAGCTGAACCAGTGACCTGGAAGCAGTACATTTTCTAAATCACAAGGATGGGTTTTGCAGTGCCCCACATACTAGCAAGTAACCAGCAGCGTTCTGGCAGTTCTTGAGAGCAGACTGACTTTTGCTACAGTTGCCCTAATTCTCAGCCCTCCAAACTTGTTAAAAATTGACTTAAATTAGGTTCTTAACTATTACAAACACAGTACTAAAGAATGAATGTAAATTAGGTTCTGAACTATTACAAACACAGTACTAAAGAATGAATGTAATAGGTGGAGTTCACTGCCTTCTGCTTATCTTCAGCTACTGCATACTAGTGACTTCGGGTGTTAAACTTCCTAAAAGTGAACTTCTCTTCACAGCTGATAGGTATTCAGGATGGGTACCTCTCCCTGCTGACAGAAAGTGGTGAAGTTCGTGAGGATCTAAAGCTGCCAGAAGGGGATCTTGGCAAAGAAATAGAAGGAAAATTCAATGCCAATGAAGATGTGCAGGTAAGTATAGAGGGCAGACGAGAAGAGTTATGGTTAATTCCATTTGATTATACAATGAAGAAGTCTTACTCTGGTATTGACCATTTGTATCTCTCTGTGAAGAGCGGGTTAGAAGCACGGGAATCGGGCCTTTGAGATGTAGAAGGACTTTTGTACTGGAGCGCTCAGTATGGCACTGAAGCCCGGCTCAGTTGACAGTAAGGTGATCTGGGTGTGTCTCAAATGTCTAGATAAGACCTGACAGTGCTGTCCACACAGTGTGGATTGGAGCCTCCAGGCTATCTTAATCGGGACCAAGGGTAGGGTTTTGTGATGTAGTGGGCGTAGTCTAATTTGCTATGTTAGCAAACCTGTCTGCAAGTAGCTCTGCAGACTGTAATCTATACTGGGCCATGCCAGTGGCTAGTTTGGCTCTATTGCAGGAGCTTGTTCGTTGACTTCTGTTGTACAAACCTCAAGCTGCCAGCCAAGGCAATATGGCAAAGAGAAGGCAGCACAAGAGCAAATCAGTGGGAAGGGCAGATGTTGTGGAAATTCTTCTGAGGAGTGAATTTTGCCAGCTTCAACTTCCTTTTTTTCTTCTCAAGAGAGATGGGATAGATATTAAAATGTGAAAGTCTGTAACTTCTAGGAGCGCTTCCTCTGGCATGGGTTGGAGCTCACCTATCTGTCTCTTCTTCCAGATATCCGTCATAAGTGCAATGAATGAAGAATGTGCTGTAGCCATAAAGCCTTGCAAATAGAGGATCGCCAGGCTCGGGCAGCTGCTCAGGTCTGGACAAACCACAGATCTATAAATTTGGTTCTTATTGTCACCAAAGCTCTGGCCTTCACAAGCAACCTCATTTCTTTTTTGAATTGTTAAAATGCAGTGCTGGATTCTGGATTAGTGTTGCAGGCTAACTGGCAGTTTTCAAAATCACTGAGATTTTAATTCCTTAATTGTAACTATTTTAACATTCCTGTGGGTTTCAGCTATGGATCTAAGAAACCAATCAGGTGTTACTAGTGGATATATTTTTATTTGCTTGAGCAAAACAGTGTTTGTCTGTATGAACAGACAAAATACAGTATTCAGGGGCTTTTAGATAAGCTGGTAGGTATCTAGGATTATAAAGTGACCTAGAGCACAAATAGTATTTTTCTTGACATGTTTAGGTAGAACTGACAATAAAAGTAGCATTTTTTTTTTTTTTTAAAGCTTAAGTATTTTGTGGATTGGGACTCTTGCAGAACTGTAGGTGCCAATCGCAACTTTTAGACCAAGAAACTCAAGTGATCAAAAATGCCAGCTGGCTTGACCAAGCCCCAGTGGCCATGTGCAACTTAACTGTATTACCTCTATTCTTCTTTGCCAACTTGTTGGCTTATTGTAATGATAAAATGGTGTCAAAGCCTACCTGTGGTTTAGGCAGGCAGTTGGAATATTGGGTAGATAAGACATAGACAGGTCAAGGGGACACAAAGGTGAGAATGGACGTTAAAGCTATAGACTTTCACTCGAGGCCTTTGTCAGACTTGAAAAATAAAATAGAAAAATGCAGTTCAATTGCTTTCCTTTATTGTATTTATCTTAAACTATAAAAGGGTGACAAACTCCATGGGAATCTGTTGCAGTGCTTCCAGCTTTAGGTTTTAACCTTCAGGTTCAGGCCATATTTTTGTAGCACAGGGACTACAGGTTTTTCAAAAAGTGGGACAAACTGTAGCATTAAGCCTAAACTAAATGCATGTGATTCTTTTTAAAAAAAAAATAAAAAAACCTATTGTATTTTCAAAATATAGACTTGACAGACAATACTGAACAACCATGGCTTAACTATAAAAGTAAATAAATTGCTACATAGTTACGAAAGCTAGCTCCTCTCCAAGGGAGTTCTGAGTCATTGAAACACGCATGCATGCCTCTAACTATTTAGCAGCTTGACAGGCAAACACAATGCTTCACAGAACTAGTCATGGAAGAATAACCAGCCTGCTCCTGTTTAAGGCATTCAACTTGAGTTCTAAGACTCGGTGACTCTTCATGAGTGGGAAACTTCCTTAGTCTCTGGCTAAGACCTCTCTTCACAGCTGATAAATTGTTCCATGAACTTGCCTTAAGCTTCAGTGGCTGTTGGCTAATGGAAGACAACTTGTAAACATGTGGCACGCTGCCCTGGACAGCACGCACAATTCACACTCTGTTGGCAGCGAGAGGCAGACTTAACGCTGCTGTTAACTGCTTAAAATGTTTTCATCTTAATAGTATGTACTCTGTAATCCCCAAAGGGCTCATGGCAACTGTCCCGAACTGCCCTTGTACATACTGTGGCAGGGCTTAGCAAATCTTGGAGGTCTAACATAGATGGCAAAACCACGCATTTTCCATAGACTTCTCATGACAGGGAGAGCAGTGCAGTGAAGGTAAAGACAGCAATAAATATACACTGGTAATAAAGCACAGTTACCTGGGACACCTGGCAGAAGTAGGATGCTGCCACATGCTCTTGCCTAGCACAATACACATCACAGGTGAACTCTATAAATAGCGCCTTGAGTGAAATGGCAAAACTGCTTTTATAAAAAGCTGTAGATGCAAGAGATTGAAACGCATTCCGAGTAGTTGTGAAGTGCATGCTTAATAGTTCAAGCTAGTCTGCACTATGCTCCTTTCTGCCTCTCCATCGAACTGGCACCTGAAAGACAGGCTTTGTTGGCTTTGGAGGTGACTGAAACCATTGATGATGGTCTTGACAGCAAGCTGAGCCGTGTGACGTCAAATGGGAAGTCATAGGTCGCTATGTCAAACTAATGCACGTTCCAACGCTATCGCCGTGTTACGAGTGCTCCTAATGTGCTTGAAAATGGCAAGACTTGGATTTGTCCTTGTTCTGGTAGTGCTGTAGGTGCCTGTCTGTCCTCTGACAACCTTGCTGGAAGACAGGTATTTGATGCCACGGGCCCACAACCTAAGCATTTATTTAGACTGTAAGGTCTCTGGGACGAGGGCTGGTTTTTGTCCTGTTCCTATAGGTGGGGTCCTGACTGGAGTTTTCAGGTACTACAGCAATCTCAAGAGAGAGATGTTATGACCTCCAGCTTGCTGGAAGAGCCTTCCTTGGGATGTAGGGATGTCCTTTTGCAACCTTCAGTTCTGCAAGATTTAAATGATTAAGTACTTCACTATAGGTTTGCTCTTATATACTTAGTTGTCTTTTGTGAAGCACTTCGAACACTATGGAAGTGCAGAGCATTGGCTCGTCATGCATGAAGTTTCCCATAGGTAATACATAAGCATGAGTCTTAAGCATAATCTCCAAGTTTCAGTAAGGTTAAAAGTTGCTTCTAAATTAGAACATGTATTTGAGGCATTTTTTTTCCAAAGAAAGATGTTTCAGTTTAGTGTCAGAATTGTTTGCAGCAAACTTTGTGATCAATAGTCCATACAGATGTGTAGTTTTAAGATCCCTAACCAAATGCTTAGGGAAATTCTCCTCTCATAGCTTTACTTTAAAACAAATCTTACCAATGTACTTGTTCTGTAGTACTGTCTTAACACTTAAATTGTGTCAAAACCTAAAAGTATAAACTTCTAATAGCTGATGCAATTGCTTAGAGTAAAGGCTGTGAAAACTAGGAGGTGAAGAAAAGATTTCCACTCCAAATAATGCATTTTTTTTATGGCTCCAATTCATTGAGTTTCTCTGACTACTTTACAGAATTGGAAAGACTGCAGTGTTTCCTGCCTCAAATGTTGGCAAATAGTACTTTAAGATTTCCATAGATCCTTCTAATTTTTGCTTATAATGGTGGTTTTTCAACTAGGCTCTTGCTAGTTGAGCCATGTTCTCAGGGCTGGTTTTTTTTTAAGTTAGCTGAATTTCATTGTTTTAATGTAACTGCTTTCAAGCTTCTTGCAGGTTTTTCTAATCCACAATGTACCCAGAAATGGTGCACAGTCTGTAGTTTCACAATACAGGTAATTTTACATAATCTGTAAAGATGTCAAATTTGTTGACAGTTCAAACTCTTATGGTTACTGCAGGTCAGTCTCACAGAATTCAAAATTCAATAAATCCCACTTTTTTTTGGTTGAGTAATTAGAATGTAGTTTGTTACAGTAGAACTAAACTTCAGGAAAAAAAAATAAAAAAAGACCTTGTTAAGGATATTTTTGAGTATCTCACTTATACACTGAGAATGTTAACGAAGGCGTAGATCCTGGAGGCGTTGTGGTGGGAGCGTGGTGGAGCGTTGTTCAGCACGGTACAGAGAGCACCAGAAGTCTCTCCAGTATCTGCAGCCTGGCCCTACAGTATTTTGGCATCTGAGAGTAACTTGGTTTGTGAACTTGAAACGGAATGTTTGCTGTGTAGCGCTGTATCGCAGAAAACCCCTATTCTCGGTTGTCCTGTGCTGTATATTGTAAGTGTAACTGTTGTTTGGTCTGGCTTTCAAAAATGCAGGAGAAAGAGGAATGATGGCAATGACTCATTTTACCAATCATAGCAAAAAAACCAAACCCTGTAACTCATGTGAACTGGGCACGGTAGCCCTCCTCGTGGTTCAAACGCCTATCTGCTTTGGAAGCTGTATTGTTTTCAATACCATGCGAACGATTGTGTCTGGGGGGAAGATGTAAATGTGTGTTTTTGCTTCAGAAATAATAAAGATGTCACTGCTGTGGGGAGCTGAGTGCTGGTTAAGATTACAGGGACCGCTGGAGAGCCTTTTAACGCTTCGGTGCGGTTGTTGAGTGGATCTGCAAGCTCCAACCCCGACTGTGGCTGCGGTGGGGACAGGCTGTTCTCCAGGCGATGGGTTCCCTGCGGTCAGTCAGCACCCTCAGCTTCCCAGAGG